AAACAAATACTTACATAAATACTTCACAAAAAATATCTCTGTATGATGTCTTCATCTCCAAGTAACTGAATAATAGATTTACAAGTTTTTAAAGTTTATTTTGTTTTTAAAAATAACATTTGATGAAGATGAATAAACTGATATGATTTCAACTGCAAATTCAGTTTTGTATACATTTAGCTACTATAATCTATCACTCTATCACACAGTCGGTTCCTTCTACCATTCGATATTTCTGTCTAAGACAACATTCCCAACCTGGAGTATATTTATCCATATGAGTAAATTTTAGGGTTCTAAGGGATAATATTCTTTGCAGAGCTAGCACTAACATTCTTACTACAACTGGAGAGGACACAAGAATTCTAAAATATGACAACAAGAACCCAGTGCATACCATGCGTAGTCTCTATCCTTCCATAAAGAATTTGGTAACATATTCTTTTTCATTCCATTTATAGAGAATGTATATTTTGTTGACATCTGCTATGTTTGTAGACCTATTCAACTAGATAAAACAAAATATACTGAAAAGTTAATAGCAAGCTACTGCTTTGAATACTATTATTTTCAGCTATGAACTATATTCAAAGATTCTATGTATTGTTGATTCATAAACACTGAGTATTCCAAATAAAAAAGTAAAACTGCTCACACGGCAGTTCCATGAAATAGGTAAAAAATAAAGGAAAACAAGAGGCAGAAGATCAAATTCCTATCTCTTATGGCACAGAGCATACATAATTCGGATCTTTCATTCAGTCAAGCAGAATAAACCGTTAACCCCTACGATCCGGATGACGTGACCATCGCATCATGAAAAATTTGGCTTGAGGAGCAGGTGATATACACATACCATCATGGGAAAATATGGCTAAGCCAGGGTAATGGGAATTTTACATGAGAAGGATGGCTGAAGACCGTGGTAACTGGAATGACGCACCACAAGGAAAGGAAAACAGCTTATTACCTTCTGGATAAACCCATTCAAATGATAAATATAGAAACTGGAAAAAAATGAAAATAAATAAAAAGTTAAACTGTAATTATTCAGAAAAGGGAAAATACAATTGTAAAGGAGAGCATGGAAGCTTGTCACCACTCAATGAGTGTTTCATGTTGCACCCGGCCTACAAGACACACACCCGGCAAAATGACCGCTCAAGTATAGCCTAATTGCCTGTATTTTGGGCCACAGGATGGTTGCCGAAGCCTCCGGATCCAATGGGTTAAATACCACAAAATTATACAAAAATTATAAACAGTTTAGAACAATTCAAATAACCATTAGAAATTACAGGTACATATCACTCTATCATCAGCTCTATGCTGTTGTAATGTATTTTTATTGTGCTAATATAGAAATATTATCATTAAAGCGTATTCTTAATTTAATTTAAAAATTTCTACATAAAATACAATAGACTCACGATACCTACAATAAATAATCATACGAATCNGCTGATCACATCCAGCGTCAGACCCTGGTAGGTCGAGTACCACTCTATTGGCTCCCCGGCCTTGCTCTTCTTGCCTATGATGCCTAGCAGTTCGTCACCTTTTCGTTCATTATTCTGCAGGTGCTTCAGCTTGACCATGGAGAAGGTCGGGGCCAGGATGGAGCGCACGTCCTTCCACCGCTGGTCACGTAGGCCTACGACAGTGTGCACGACGGGCTGGGCCTCGATCACGAGCTTGGGCCGATTGGCAAAGTTGTGAAATTCCTTAATGAGAATGTCTTTGAGCATGTCCAGGTCCGCTACTACAAGCGTCGGTTTCCATCCGATGTAGTAACCGAAGACTTTGCCGTATTGTTTTACCCATTTACCGATAACTTCAGTGGGAAGGATGCCTTTGCCGCGGAGTTGGTGGTTGCTGCGTATAGAATGTGAGGCTTTACGTATGGAACGCCATCTTTGAAAATATGGAGTGATACTGACGGCGTTCTTTCACCCATCGATAAAAGTATACCACACAATGGACAGCAAGAGCGTCATGTACAAGCTGATAGGTTGGCCCACACCAGGCCAGTGCCTCAATTGGGCCGCGCATCGTGGAAACCGGGCTGTTGCTCTCAAGAAGCCTGGAAAAAAAAATGTTTATTAGATACTCATGATATGTATCAATGATTTCATTTCCTCATTTCTGCATTGACAGCTTCACCAACTGCATATCTCTCCGTAAGAATAAATCTTTGTGTGGTCATTCATGCCTTGTATATATAGACAGATAATACTAAGTTACTAAGTCATGCTAGATTGACCTAATTAAACTAGGCTATATCAATGGTTTCACAACTCCCCCCCCCCCGCTCCGCCATCAAGATACGCAAGGCAGTATCTGGGCTCCCCCCCCCCCCGCGGCATAGGCTGGGCGAGACTATGCCTCCGGGAGAACGACGCAAACACACACACGCACTTTTATACATATATTATATATATATATTATATATATATATATATCTTCGGACCCGAAAATGGAATCGAGGACGATTCCGAAACTGTTGTCTTCTTTACAGAGTCGTTTATTACATATCATATCAGAACTAAATATTTTCCCCATTACTACTATCAAATTTAATTTTTATGTAAATATGCGATAGGCCTGTAACCTTACGATCCTCTGGGGTCATTTATACAATGTTGATAAGATTATCTGAATCTTATCTGGAGGAAAATTCATTACAATAGACGTATGTATTTTTAAGGAAGGTCAGGACAAGATCTATATCAGGACAGCTGTAGATATGAATTTCAGCGGCTCCTCAATGCAGGTAAATCGCCTTGTATTTCGAAAGACTGAACATACTCGAGATAGATTATGATAAGGTTTAGTCACGGATGCTAACTGCATTGGATCTGATTGATATCACGTATGTATATGTATATATATATATATATATATATATATATATATAATATATATATATATATATATATATATATATATATATATATATATATATATATATATATATATATATAGAATAGAAAAACAATGCCGTGTTGATACTATGGTAGAAAACCCACAATGCACAAACTAGATTTATTGAGGAAAGTGAGACAACAGTTTCGGAATCGTCCTCGATTCCATCTTCGGTCCGAAGTATATATATATATATATAATATATATATTATAATATATATATATATATATATATATATATATATATATATATATATATATATATATATATATATATAATATTATATATGTATATATATATATATATATATAATATATATATATATATATATATATATGTGTGTGTATTATATATATATATATATATATATATATATATATATATATATATATATATAATATATAAATATATATGCGTGTATATATAATATATATGTGTATATATGTGCGTGTGTGCGTGTTTGCGTCGTTCTGCTGCGGGGGCAAGGTCTCACCCAGCCCATGCCGGCGGGGGGGGGGAGGGGGGGAGCCCAGATACTGCTTGGGTATCTTGGAGTGGGGCGGGGGGGGGGGGGGGGGGAGTTGTGAAACCATTGATATAGCCTAGTTTAATTAGGTCAGTCTAGCATGACTTAGTAACTTAGTATTATCTATCTATATATACATACATGTATATATATTTTATTATAATATATTATGTATATATATATATGTATATATATAATATATACATTATATATATATATAATATTACAATATATATTATATATATATATATATATATATATATATATATATATATATATATATATATATAATATATATATACATATATATACATATATACATATTCATATATATATATATATATATATATATATATATATATATATATATATATATATATATATATATATATATATTTACATAAATTCTATATATCAATCATATATCATCACGTGTGTGTGGATGTGTGTGTGTGTGTGTGTGTGTGTATTTGGACAATACTCGGCAACTGTGCTTGACTCCTCAAGGGATATTTTCGTTTCGTCGTCGTGAGATCGGGTTTGACCAGCTGTCAGGAGAATAAACTTGGAACAAGGGTTGGAGTCCAGTACTTTGATATCTGAACCTTTGCGTATATATATATATATATATATATATATATATATATATATATATATATATATATATATGTGTTGTGTGTGTGTGTGTGTGTGTGGTGTGTGTGGTATGTATATATATGTATATATACATATATATATATATATATATATATATATATATATATATATATATATGTGTTATATATATATATATATATATATATATATATATATATATATATATATATATATTATATATATATATATATAGTATATATATATATATATATATATATATATATATATATATATATATATATATATATATATATATATATATATATATATATATATATGTATATATATATTTATATATATTTATATATATATATGTATATATATATATATATATATATATATATATAATATATATATATATATATATATATATATATATATATATATATATATATATATATATATATATATATATATATATATATACATATATATATATATATATATGTATATTATATATATATATATATATATATATATATATACATACATATATATATATATATAAAATAATAAATATATATATATATATATATATATTATATATATATATATATATATATATATATATATATATATATATATTTTTTTCCATATTGCTTCATCGAGCGAAAAAGCTCTTCCCTTCGTTGTCTTACGAACACTTCGTCCAAATGCGAATCCTTTTCATTCACCTTTTCTCTTTCAAATCATTGTCCAAGATGTCACGAGGACGAGCTAGTCAGAATAATAGCTGCAGGTGTTGGTCGGAGAAGGCATGGATGGCCACACAAAGAGTTCTGCTTACGGAGAGATATGCAGTTGGTGAAGCTGTCAACGCAGAAATGAGGAAATGAATAATTGATACACATCATGAGTACCTAATAAACATCTTTCTTTTTTCCAGGCTTCTTGAGAACAACAGCCGGTTTCCACGATGCGCGGCCCAATTGAGGCACTGGCCTGGGTGTGGGCCAACTATCAGCTTGTACATGGACGCTCTTGCTGTCCAGTGTGGTCCTATACTTTTATCGATGGGTGAAAGAACGCCGTCAGTATCACTCCATATTTTCAAAGATGGGCGTTCCATACGTAAAGCCTCACATTCTATACGGCAGCAACCACCAACTCCGCGGCAAAGGCATCCTTCCCACTGAAGTTATCGGCAAATGGGTAAAACAATACGGCAAAGTCTTCGGTTACTACATCGGATGGAAACCGACGCTTGTAGTAGCGGACCTGGACATGCTCAAAGACATTCTCATTAAGGAATTTCACAACTTTGCCAATCGGCCCAAGCTCGTGATCGAGGCCCAGCCCGTCGTGCACACTGTCGTAGGCCTACGTGACCAGCGGTGGAAGGACGTGCGCTCCATCCTGGCCCCGACCTTCTCCATGGTCAAGCTGAAGCACCTGGCCGGAATAATGAACGAAAAGGTGGACGAACTGCTAGGCATCATAGGCAGGAAGAGCAAGGCCGGGGAGCCAATAGAGTGGTACTCGACCTACCAGGGCCTGACGCTGGATGTGATCAGCGAGTGCGCTCTCGCCATGAAGACAACCTGCCAGAAAGACCAAGAAAAGAGCGAGTTCTTCATGGAGTGCTCTCCTTCCTCAAGAACGCGGTGACCCGGCGATTCTTCATGGGGCTGTAGCTTCCCGAGGGCTTCGGCAAAATCCTGAGCTAACATCAGTAACAGATTCGCGCTGTCGGTCGCATGACGCAGATTGATCGTCTAACCAGTCAACACTGGACCGTGATCAGAGGTCGGCGCGGAACACGTTTGCATTAAAAAACGTCGACGGTGCTGGCAGTTAAGGATGCTGGAGCAGCGGAATCCGCTCTCGATGCCGATGGTGCGCCAGCGAGACGGGGTGTCCCAAAGGAAGCCAAAGCAACAGCTTTCTCCGACGAAGAAATATAGCGCCACCGCCTGGGTCTCCTGCTGTGGGCTTGAGACGCTTTGAACCACTCCAAGTCTCCCTCTCCACGTACACCTGCTGCCTGCAACAGTAACACCAAGAGTGTACAGGACAAAGGTCCTACAGCAAGAACTCCTAGCGGTCATGGTATGAATGATTATTGTCTAGTTGGTTATATTTATTTATATATACATGTATATAGGAAGATATTTATAACGATATATATATATATAGTATAATATATATATTAATATATATATATATATATATTAGATAGATAGATAGAATAGGATATAATATATATTATATAAAACATGTATATACCCACACGGACACACGCACCTACACACCCTCACCCCAATTCATACATACCTAATACAATATGTATTATAATACAGACGCACGCCATATCCACATCCACATCCACACTTATTATGTAGGTGTGTGTATGTGTCATTTTAAAAGAATGCAACTAGTATCATTCGTGTTGTACAAAGAAACATTAATACGGATGTAAAGGAAATATGAGAATAATAATAAATTCAGATCAGTGTTACGATACCTTGCTTGAAGTGATTTGCATATTTCTTACTTGCATGCAAATTCCCCGCGTTCGATACTGATAATGATCATGATAACAACTGCTAAGAAAATTATTATATTATAAGAAATACACGTCAGTTATTGTATATATTACTTATAAGTTATATTATGCATACTTTATATGTATATGTATGTATTTATTATTATAATCTTTGAACATGGCCCGAAACAAGATCGCCTTGCAAACCATACGGTTAAATTTTTTAATTGTACAACAGGTTTTGCAAGAGTGAACACAACTATAAAAGATCTAAGAATACGATTAAGGTGCCTATGTGCTTTTGAGGAATTTCAGGTGGGCAGAGTTTAAGGTCATAAGCATCACTGTAACATAGACTGAGAACGGGTGCGGTGGATATTAATAGTAAGGTGGGCGTTTGGTGTGGAGTAGCTATGAGCCAGCCTCTGTCATCTCCTGGTATATACTTGTACCCGTTTTCTACAGTTTTGGTGTGTTCAGATGATTTCACCGTTGATTATGTGTTAGCCAAGTCAATGTGAGAATCTGCTTCTCTTAGTCGTACACGAAAAATATTTATAGCAAATGATAGGGGATGTAGTATGAACAAAATATGGATGAAAGCTGTACAACTCAATTCTCATCGAAGCTTTGTGATTAATATACGAAAATTACTGCAGTACATTATGGAGATGTTCGAGCTGAAATGGTCAGGGAAAGGAAGCATTGACGGAGCGTACAGTTTGCAAAGTTCTCTCGACAAAGACAATTAAGAGCTTAGGCCGGAAGGAGGAACTACAGGAGCACGACGAGATTGGCTAGGTGTGTGTTGATGGTGTATCCGACAGGCCCCACATACTCCATATTGAATTGTATGTGATAACAGATTGTTTTTGTATCGGACGTGAGAAGTATCAGACGAGTCCCTTGGTCTGTGTTGTTGGGGATGGATACGCTTACAAGCATGTCGCATTGTATATAGCTCTAGGGTATCGCATCCGTGAACCAAGCTAGCATGTATGATAAGCTATCTTATAGGTTGTCGAGCATAATAGAGTATACGGGGACATGTGTGGTTAAGGTAAATGTAGTTATTAAAACATACTCTACAAAGATCTGGTAGAAAAACGGGTGACAATATACCATATACAGAAATGAAGAATAAGCGGAGTTTCGAAGCTTAACTAAACATAAACCAAGACCCCGACCTAATTTGTGGTTACGGGTTATTCATCAGTGTTAGGATAAACGTTCGACCCACATAGTGAGAAAAGGTGCAGTCTACAAGGACATCGCAGAGCGGCACTGAAATTCTTACTCGAGGAAGGATCAGGTTCAGAACGCGACTGGCCGATCGTTAGTTGTATCTTATATAGATGTGTTGGGGCTCGGATACCTCTCTATGGTGCAGATCAGTACGAAAACCACACCGGTGTAGATGGTTGGAAGAGGCGGGGCATGGGACGATCTTAGTTTGGTCGAGAGAGAAGAATACTAGATCCAGTTGTAGAACGATATGCATGGCAATAATAATAGTATCATATAGCCTATATAAGTATGCATATATCCTAGACACTTGAAGGAAGTCTATCGAGCGCGCCGGGTGACGTTGGTGGTGTTATGTTATATAATCAATTTTTTTTACATTTTGGGTACAGAGCCTGGTTGCCGTGCCGGCTGTCGGTTTGCGATGGGGAGTATGTGGGTAGTGGGCGTCAGTCCGTATGTGTGGCAATCATTTAGGATGGTATGGTATACGAAGCGGGCGCAGATGGGGCATCTAAGTGTAAAGAGGAGAGGTGAATAAGAAGATGCAAATCACTTCAAGCCAAGGTATCGTAACACTGATCTGAATTTTGTTTTTATTCTCTATTTCCTTACATCCGTATTATGTTTCTTTGTACAACACGAATGATACTGTTGCATTCTTTAAATGACATAACACACACCTCATAATAAGTGTGGATGTGGATGTGGATATGGGTTGCGGGTGGTGTGTATTATACATATATGTTGTAGGTATGTATGATTGGTGTGTGTGTGTAGGGTGCGTGTGTCCGTGTGGGTATATAATGTTTATATAATATGATATATTATATCTATCTATCTATCTATCTATCTATCTATATTATATATATATTATATATATATATATATATATATATATATATATATATATTTATATTACATGTATATGCTATCTAAATAATAATAGGCAAAATTTACCTTGATCACGTCTAGGAGTTCTTGGTAGACCTTGTCCTGTACCTCTTGGTGTTGTGTCAGCAGGTACGTGGTGTACGTGAGGGAGTTGGCCGTGGTCTCAAAGCCCCCAGCAGGAGGACACCCAGGCGTTGGCGTATGATATCTTGTCACGCGTGGCACGAAGGGGTTATGTGCTTTGGCTTTTCCTTTGACAGTACCGCGTTCGCGCGGTGCGTGCAATCGGGCAGTGACGCGGATTGCAGGACACTCGTAAGACCTGCAGCATCAAGAGTGAGCTAGGTTGCGATTTCTGCCGCACCGCAAGACGCTGATCCACGGTGCGGAGGGAGAGATCAGAGTGTCGTCATGCGACCGTTGCGAGCAGGGATCTGTTAACTGAGATTTCGAAGCTCGGAAAGTACAGCGCCATGAGAATCGCCGGGTTCAGACCGCGTTCCTTGAGGAAAGAGCGCACGCCATGAAGAACTCGCTCTTTTCTTGGTCTTTCTGGCAGGGTTGTATGAGGCAGCAACGCGCAACTCGCCTGATGGAATCAGCGGTCAGGCTCATTGTCTGTGTGAGTACCACCTCTATTGGCTCCCGGCCCTTGCCTCTTCTGCTTGAGATTGCGTAGCGAGTCGTCGTGGGTCCCGCGTATTATGCTAGCAGGTTAAGTAACTTGGACAGAGGATTACAGGCTATGAGACCATGGGTGAGAAAGGTGCGGGCGCAGGGAATGGAGCGTCGAGCACGTGTGAGGACAGTGCTGCAAGCAGGTAGGACGCGCGCTCGCGCCTCGGTATTTCACGGAGCTTGGCCGAAGTTGTGCAAAGTTGTGGAAAATTCCTTAATGAGATGGTCTTTGAAGCATGTCCGCGTACGTACAAGGTCGGAGATACTGAGCATGAGCTAACCGGAACTTGCGCAGCGTATGCGCATGCTACGCGGAATAAACGTCACGTGGGAAGTAGATGATAGAAGGCGGGTATAGCCTGATGGAGTTTAGGGGTGTTGCTCGCCGTATAGAATGTGGGCTTTACGTATGGAGGCCCTCTTTGAAAATATGGAGTGATCACAGCTTGTGCGTTCGCGGCATCAAAGAGTGACCGACGGGCAACGATGACAGCAGAGCGTCATGTCAAGGTTTGTTGCCCCACCAGGCCCGTGCTCAACTGGGCCGCGCATGTGGACCGGGCCTGTTGCTCTCCAGAAGCCTGGAAATCAAAGGAAAAGTGTTTTATTCAGGTATATCCCATGATATTCTATCAATGTCATTTTCCTATTCTGCATGGGGCAGCTTCACCAACTGCATATCTCTCCGTAAGCAGAACTCTTTTGTGTGGCCATTTCCATGCCTTCTCCGACCACACTGCAGCTGTATTATTGGCTGACTAAGTCGTCCTCGTGACAGTGGACAATAGAGTGTAGAGAAAGATGAAAAGGATCCGCATGTTGCGCAGGCGAAGTGTCCCTTAGATGTATTTGGGGGGTTTAAAGACCAAGGCCGGAAAGGGGGAAGAGCTTTTTCGCTTGAGGGTGAATGATGAGCTGGAGGGGCGGGCCGAGTAGCAGATCACACTCATGGGATAAAATGGCAGAAATGGTTGTGCGAAAGTGGAGAGTGAACTCACGATCCTGAGAGGGTAGGAGTTGAGCCATATTATCATAAACCAGCTGGTGTGGAAAAACATACGCATGGAAGAATGATGGAGAGAAGAAAGCATAAGGATATAATCACGTACTCACTCATTGGCTTATTCTATAGAGCAGGTATAATAGTACGATAACTATGAGATATATAATATATATATATATATAATATTTATAGTATTTATTTATTTAATTATATATATTTATATATTGTATGTATATATAATGTGTATATATGTAAATATAATATGTATATGTATATATGTATATAATATTATATATATACTTA